ATTAAGGCATTAATAGCAATAGCAGTTAGACTTGTATATTGCTTTATAGTGCTTTATAGCCATCTCTAAGTGGTTTACAGAGTCAGCATGCCTCCAACAATTTGGGCCCTCATTTTACCCATCTCAGAAGGGTGGAAGGCTGAATCAACCTTGAGCCTGATGAGATTTGAACGGCCAAATTGCAGGCAGACTGTAGTCAGCAGAAGTAGCTTGCAATATTGCACTCTAATCACATTAAGATGTAACCTCTGTGTATGTCCATGTCTATGCATATGTCAGTATGTGATTTATTATGTATATGATCTATGTACAGTCAGACTTCAACAAGAAATAGAATGTTTAGTTTTCCATGTTTACATATTTGCCATATATATATATATATATATATATATATATATATGTATATGTATATGTATATGTGTGTATATGTATGTATGTATATATATATATATATATATATATATATATATATATACACACACACATACACACACACACACACACATACATACATACACACACACACACACACACACACACACACACACACACCTGTAGTTCATAAAAATATCTGTCTACTTGGGGGGGGGGAGAATTGAAATATGACATTGTCTGCCAAACCACCACAAGGAAATCTGGCTTTATATTTTTTTATAAATATGGATTACTAAGTACCCATAATATACTGCACATTTAACAGACTATAATTGAATAGCAGGCATTCAGAAATATACATTAATTTAAATTGTAATATTTTGATATTGATGAGATTGTTACCAATATTGCAATGATTGAGTCATTTGTGATTTAACTAAATGTGGATCTTTAAAATTGTGATTATTACCATTTATGTGTTTCATAGGTTTACAGAATGTTGAAACATCAATTTCAATGTATTGTGGCTTGCAAATGCAGTATATTAAGCTGCCATCCTAAACATTAATTAGCAAGATCCAATCTAGGTCAGTCACTGGGACCAGAGGATTTGTTTTCTGAGCTTTTGGACTCATGCTGGAGCCCATCCTCAGGGAACTTATCTCCGGCAAAGTGCATTAATTAGCAAGTGAATTAATTAGCAAGCTCTTCTGAACTAAATGAGTTTTGGTTTTGAACAGATATGTATAAGATACATAAACGTGTACTGGGAGCATCAGCCATAAACAATGATTATTCAATGATTGAACAAATACTTCCAATTATGAATATCTTTATTATACTTGGCTGAAACTCCACAAAAGCAGGAAACTGGAAATTCAGAGGCGTGGCCTATGGTAGGGAAAGGTATACAGTATTACATATCAGATTTAAATGCTTCATAAATGGATGGATTGAACACTGAGGGCATTTTTGCCCCATCTTTCCTTGCTATCACTGGTTGGCCTTGAAAAAAACAAAAGAAAAATGTGGAAGCATAGAAGACTTGTGGTATGTAAATGTGGCATAGGGCATTGCATAGCAACATTAATGCTCGTGAAGTAATTTTTAAGGCATATTTTAACTTTCAGTATTCTAGTTTGCAGGTGCTTGGTCTATTGTGAGACAGTTTTTAGTCTTGATTTAGTGTGGGCTTTTTGATACCTGAATTTGAAAATGGGTTCACTAGTGTGTTAAAAATATTTCCTTCCCACCAATCTGTTTTCTTGCAACTTATCTATGGGTGTCTGGGATGGAAGCAAGTAATGAAATATGTGTTAAGATATAAGTTTCACCCTTTTGAAATTATATTGTGAAGTTGGATGTGCATACCAAATAGAACTTGCATCACGACATTATGGCTCAGTTAATCATTCCGATGAAACCTTGTAGACATTGTTGAACTTATCTACAAGACAGAATTAATGATTTCACTTCAGCTTTATAACTCAAACAATAAATGCAAGTAGCATGTTTGTTTGTCATAGCAGTGGGACATACCATAATGCCAATCTTTGAGATATCTGGAAAGGTGATCTCCTTGTATTCAAAACTTCTGAATCTCCTACAGCAATTCTTCAGGTTCAAAACATAATTCTTCCCCTGGCTTCTTGAGTATATAATTAGTTAGGTAATGTCAGACAGTCTTGTGAGTACGGTTAACCCTGTTAGATCACATTTCACAAAGATTGGAATATATAGGCACTAGAGAAAGAATTCAGTGAATTTATTCTGTCACATAGAATCCATCTGCAAATTAAAACTGCGCACTTCAAACTTGAGGCTTCATTCTTTGTACCTCTTTGCTGTTCATTAAAGCAAGCCCTCTTATATTCCTAGGCTGAACTAAACCTGAAAAAAAGGTGTAGCTGATTTAAGATGTATTAATTTCAGTGAACTGATACCAGCCAATGATCTCTATGATGAATGCAGGCTAGGCATCACCACCGTGATTGCTGGATGTTAATATAAAAAGATAAATTGTAATTAAAATTCAAGCAACTCCTGGGGACTGCCTGACCAAGTTTCTGCACTTTTCTCCTCAATGCAGAAATGAACCAAACTTTTAGCTGCTTCAAGACATATCAACTTTATTAGGGCAATAGTTTTCATGAACAAATTGGTGTCCTAGTAAAGTTACTCAATCTGGAAGATACTATCAAATTCTATGTCTACTTTTTCACATAGGTTAACCAAGTGTCTGCGGAGATTCTCAGTCATCCAGGTCATAGTTGTCTCAAAACTGCTTTTTCAAAAGTCAACCGGACATTTTTCTCTTGAAGGAAAAAAGAATGAAATATTTTTTTTCTCATCCAAGAAACTTCACCAGTTGTGATGGTGTGGGGGTGGTGGAAAGATAGGTACTGATAGATGAGATTAAATGGTGGTGGAATACAAAAATAGGTTTTGACTAGATGGTGGTGGGAATGGATGGCATTTCTTTGCAGTCATCTAGTTCATTAGAACTCTCTGTGGGAGAGTTTGAGGTGTTTATCTTTGCCCTTGGAGTGCAATTGGTTGTGGAATCTTGTTGGCACTGCCGCAAGAGCTGCATTGTAGACCGGAGATAGGTGGTGTCTTCTCTCCTCCTCCTCTGTTGAGAGAGGGCTGCTCAGTGTCAACATAAATGGCGTCTTTTACACTGCTTTCAAACCAGTGATCCTCTCTGCCCAGAAGGTAGACTTGGCTGTCTTCAAAAGTGTGACCTTTGTCTTTAAAATGTAGATGGACTGCTGAATCTTGTCCTTATGAGTTTGATCTATGTTTGTGAAGTGGTTGTTTTGTTTCACCAATGTACAGATCTGAATGTGTCTCACTACACTGTATTGCATATGCCACATTGCTCAGTTTGTGTCTGGGTATTTTATCCTTGGCGTGGGCAAGCTTCTGTCTTAGTGTATTCTTGGGCTTAAAGTGTACATGTATGCTGCATTGACTGAAAATTCTCCTGAGCTTTCCAGATATGTATGCAATGTATGGAATGAACACGTTACTACATTTGTTGTTCTCTTCTTTGAATGTAATGGAGGAGCTCTGCTGAATCTTTTTCTGGATTTGCGCAAAATCAATAGGAAAATCAGATCACTTAATAACTACAGTGATTCACTTTACAACTGTGGCAAGAAAGTTCACAAAATGGGGCTAATTCACTTAACAATTGTCTCATTTAGCAACATAAAATTTTGGCCTCAATTTTGGTCCTAAGTTGAGGACTATCAGTCCTTAAGAAGGCAAAGTTGGCCAGGTGCATCAGCTGAGAGTTCTAAATCGCTATGGCAGCAATGGTAGTCCTCGACTTACAACAGTTCATTTAGTGACCATTCAAAGTTACAACGGCACTAAAGTGACTAATGATTGTTTTTCAGTAACCTATGTGAATTCAAAATTCAGACACTTAGCAATAGATTCATATTTATGGGTCCTGTGATCTCCTTTTGCAAACTTCTCACAAGCAAAATCAACAGGGAAGCCAGATTCACTTAACAACCGGTTTACTCTCTTAACAAGTACAATGATTCACTTAACAACTGAGGCACAAAAAGTGCATCAAATGGGGCAAAACTCGCTTAACTAATGTCAATGTTTGGGCTGAATTGGGGTCATAAGTCAAGGACTGCCTGAATGGGGCAAAACTCATTTAACAACAGAAATGTTTGGCCTAAATTATGGTCGTGAGTTGAGGGCCACCTGCATTCATCTTTGGCTTCTTCATAGTTTTTTTTCCAATTTGGAAAAAAAGAAGAAGCAAAGGAACAGTGGAGAAAATTAGAAGCAGGAGAATCTGTCAATCTGGATCCCCGTGTCATCCTTTAAACGGGGCGGCTTGCTCGGCTGAAGAAAAACAAGCAGCTTCGCCTGGCAGCCTCCAAAGCAACCCGCAGCCGCCTCAGGACAACGCAAGTTCAAGGCCAGCGAAGCATCCACCTAAATGGCAACCAGCGGGGGTGGGAGGGGGGCGGGGGAAGCGGCGAAGCTTCCAGAAAAAAAGGAAGCCAAAAGGTAAGGAGCGGAAAGGTCGAGAGAAGAAGGAGCGTTGTTGCGCAAAAGCAAACTCTTTTTGCCTTCCTTTTCTCTCACGCCGGGCCGGCGCGCGATGCGGGAGGCCAGCAGCCCTCGCGGGTGTGGAGTTTTCCCGAGAGGTAACGTTAAGTGGGCAAACGCAGCCTTTAATTCGGCTTTAACCGCCGTTGGACCCTCTTTCTCTCTCACACACACACACACTCAGAGAGAGAGAGAGAGAGAGAGAGAGAGCGGTGTGGGCGAGCCTGTCTGCTCTCCACACTCCGTTTTTAACCACCAAAAGGTGCCCGAGCCCGCTTTGAACGGGCCCCCCCCCCCCCCCCCAAAAAAAGGTTGCCTCAAAGCCTGGCCGTCGATGCCTCCACCTGGGCGTCCGGCGAAGAGGGAAGGGCGCAGGCGCGCAAGGGACAAAGCCTCCCCCCCCCCCCCCGCCCTTCCCATCCCACACAAACTCCGCTTCCCTCGGCCAGCTGCTCTCCCCGCTCCGTAACTGTCGCTTGGAGAGGAGGAGCCAAGGGGGAGGAGTGCGGGCCGTGGGTTAGGAAGTGCTACGTGTCTACTCAGCCCTTATAAGTTACTACCCACTTTTCCTTCACTTCAGCTGGGAGCCAGCCGCCGCTTTCTCTCTCTGTCCGTCTGTTCGTCGCTCGCCGCCGCCGCCTTCTTCCTTTCTGGCTCGCCTTCCTCTTTTTTTTCCGCTGCTTGAGAGAACCGTCGGCGCTGTCCAGGACGCGCGAGCCGCCACCATGTCCGAGATCAAAAAGCAAAAGGTGGTAGGTAGCCCCTCAGCCGAGTTTTCCAACCGCCGCTCGCGGCACCCCGCTCCCCTCGGCGGTTACATTCCCTTCCCCCCCGACGCCCCCAAAACGTCCCGCGCGCTCGCGTGCGTAGCCGCGCAGATCGATCGGCGTGACGCGCGCGCATCATCATCATCATCATCATCATCTTTATCATCCTCGCTTCTCCGGCTGCTGCCTGATTGGCTGGCTGCTGCTGCGCGCGCCCCCCGGGCTGTCTCCCCCCCCGCCCCCCCCAAAAAAGAATCTCCAGCCTGAGGTAGGTAGCAGGTTGGAGGATGCCGACCTGAGCGCGCCCGTTTGAGCAACCGGCTTTCGCTGTCCCCATCCGGCTTTCTCAGAATGGGGACTTCTGCCGCGTGGAAAAATTAACCCTGGGGCCCGCGGGAGTCGCGGAAACGGGTGGGATTTTTTTTCCTGGTGGGGTTTGAAGCCAGAGACGATGCCGGGCATAAATGAGACCAATGTCACCTTTTTTGCAGGTTTCTTAGGTATGCCAAGCAGTTTCACATCCGTGTGTGTGGATTGTTATTCAGGACAGTCCCCGCTTCTAAGAAGCCTTGCATTGAGTTCACCCAGTGATCATTCCAAAATAATTCTGGGGTTGTTTTTTTTTAGGCTGAAGGATTTGACGCTTATAAAAAGCCCTTGGGTCGCCCACTCCTTTTGCTATGTGCCAGTCAAAGGAAAGTCAGCACCGGCCCTTTCATAGCTTCCTAAAATTTCTTTAGGCTAAGCCGGTTTTCCTGGTGACCCCAGATCTGTTGGAGGTACACATGCCTTCAAGTCCCAAAGTAGGTGGAAATTGTGACATCCGAAAGGTTGGACTTTCTGTTCCTTGCTCTGCTTCTTTGTAGAGATATGAGAAAGGCACGAACAGCAAGTTTTACCTCATGGGTTAAAGGTTTCCGAAAAATTTCTATATTGGCTTCCTCTCAAACAGTTATCTTTGGAAGCGTGTTTTTCCAGCTTGTAGGATCATTAGGTCCATGCTTAACGGGTAGTGTATTTTATTTTGGTTCTGACTTCTCATCAGGTGATGGCTTTAAGAAACATTAATGTAGCATGTGCAATGTCTGAGGTTCCTCTTATTCCATTGAATTCAGAGATATTTCTTTTCCAAATCTCTCACGCAGACAGAGACACAGATATGTGTGTCTATGTGTGTGAGAGGGGGGGGAGGAGAATAGAGCCACTGTTTTAGGTTAATTTTTTCCAGTGGAGCTACACCCCCTAAAATGGAAATTACCAGTAATATTAATCTGTTTGTCCGTTTGCTCATCCATTCACATTGGCCAACACTTTTAAGCAAGCAGTAGTAGATACCTCTGAGTTTCCTTCCTCTTTAACATGTATGTGGTTGATTACATATCTATTTTGTCTTCCACCTCAGAGCTTTTTTTCTTAAAAAAAAAAAAAAAGAACGGAGAACAAAAATGCTGGAATAAATAAATAGCAATTGGCCAATAAGGAAGCCCCCATCCATGCTAGAATAAAGCAGCTTTCATCTCTTAATGATCCTTTCTCCTAGAACTACACTAGAGCAACAGGGACTTTAGCAGCTGATCTCCAGCATTTTAACAGATTTGTTTTCATCTGCATTCTTTCTGGAACTGGTACAGAGGTGGTATTCAGCAGCTTCTGACCAGTTCTGGAGAACTGGTAGCGGAAATTTTGAGTAGTTCGGAGAACCGGCAAATACCACCTCTGACTGGAGATTTTACAGTATCCTTTTCCTGCTACACCCACCAAGCCATGCCCACAGAATCCGTAGTAAAAAAAATTTGAATCCCACCACTGAACTGGTAGGATACATAAGTAACACGCATTCAGTCCAGAGGCGTGGCCTGTGGCAAGTTTTCCCAGTTATGGGACATCTATTTTGTAGTTCTGTGGTTTACTTAAATTAAAAGTATTCCGGATGCATTCAGTCATTATATTTATACATGACTGCACAGTGTTTGTTTATTCCTGTTCTTTTAGGACTAAGGAGCAATTTCTTTGCATTGCACTTGGAGTTTAACCTCTGCTTCCCCTTTAAGCCCTCTGAAAGAAGACATAATAAAGTGCTGAGCTAGAAGTAAAAGAAAATTTTAAAGCAAAAAGTTTGCTAAAAAAACAAACAGCAACTATTGTTTTTTGCATAATATATTTTTTATTAAAATCATATACACATTTGATAAATAAAATAATCAGAATTCAGATTCTGCCTTTTGTGCAGTAATTCAAGATGGTATACCTCAGGAGTCCAACCTCTAAGTTTATCTCCCCAACAATTCTTTGACATCAGTTATACCAAGTAACAATGCCTAGTCTCAATATTATCCCAGTTAATTTCTTAGCTGAGACAGGATTTCATCCCAAGTCTTTTGAGCATTAGTTAAAAATATAATTTTGTATTCATATAACTGTTTGAAGTGTATTATGAATTTAAAATTAAAAAAAGAATTCTATGAGCCATATTTATCTTTGTTCTGGATTAATGCCATATTGACTTTGTGGGATGGTCAGAAAGTGATGCATGTTCTTATAGATAAATAGTGTAAACAACAACTACTGTTTCACAAGGTACATGTTTTAAAAAGATTTGTCCTTAAATTATACATGCCCTGTGCAATTTTTAAAACATAGCTAGGCATGGAAATTACCGTACTGAAAAAGATATTTTGGGTGTAACGTAATAAAAATTAAGTTCCATCACTAATGTTTAGTTTTGTTTTTAATCCAATCCCACCATGGAACAAAAATAGTTTGAAAATTATACTCAGTTTTCTCTGGCAACTTTATCATTTATGCCACCTGTATCACTTGGCAAATATTTTTTAAGTGCTTCCTGGATAAGAGATAAGGATATTTAAGTAAACTTAAATCAGCATATGTAAGTGCTATGAAAAAATGCAGTTTAAAACAATTTTAGTTTTGGTTGGTTTCTACTTCAGATCAATTTTCTCTTGGGTATACTAGTGGTTATTGTCTGGGAAGCTCTGTTATTTAAAGTGTGATGTACTTTCCTGCAAATACCTGTGGTGTTCTAGACCCACTTGTAAAGAAATGCCTGCAAAGTTGACCAGGTTTTATTATGCTGCCAGAATAATGTCTGAATATGACAGCCATGTTGGCAGCCTTGGGTGAAAGAATAGTGGATTCAAATGAAGGTCTTTATCCACCGATGGATTTTTGATGTTCTTTTGGGGCAAGGAAACAGTAACAGGCAGAAAGCAGCAACAAAAATAGGAATACAACACAGAATAACAACCACAATAAAACATAATATGAATAAATAGTATTTAGGGACTAGAAATTTTGTTGAATGTATAATGGGAGCAAAGTCATACCTATACCCTAAATTTTAAAATAAATAATATGTGTTCAGACAAGGAACGGAATAAGAGAGGACATAAATAGGAATAGGAGAGGAATAGGAGACGACATAAATATACAAGAAATTTGATGGTTTGTCACTGAAGAGTATTGCTCTGTTTTGTACAATATCAATTGGGGGGTTTCATTACTGTTCTGTTTTGTAACCTTTCTTCCTTAGAAAGGCTCTTTGCCTAGAAATAAATCATTATAGAGGGAATCTCTTGGGACTTACTGCTACCTGAAGGTGATAAATTGTGATTAGTTCATGCTGCGTGCATTCATTGTACTGAGGTATGTTAGGAAAACCACAAGCTTTAGTTCACTTAACCATCCATTTATTCAGGCCATTTTATTGTTAACATGATACATCAATGATTTTTGTAAGGCGTCCTCAAAACTCTACCACATTGTGATTTTACATACAGATAGGACTATCAGATTTGGAATGCAAAAGTTTGGTGACCACTGAGTGGCAGCGAAAAGATAAGGAAATTCACTCTCTTCTGCCATCTAGTGCTTGGGTAGATTTTGCAGCTCCTTTACACAGATTTTTAAAGTACCTAGAGAAGGAAATATGGATATGCTTTCTGTTTTAGAGCCATTGTCTCAGAGAAGGATATGTTATACAAAATTCCAAATACCGTAATTACTATGTTCATATAAATTGTATTCAATGTAGGTACCTATAATAGCTATCTTGCAAATAGCTTCACAAAATGTTGACAGTATTGCCTGTATTATAAATTCTGAATGACAGGGAAAATATATATATGTCTCTCCATGCCAAGGGTCTTCAAACTTGGCAAGTTTAAGACTTGTGGACTTCAACTCCCAGAATTCCTTAGCTAATATGATTGGAGGAGGAATTCTGGGAGGAAGTCTTACAACTGTCAAGTTGGAGACCCCTGCTCCATGCCATTTGGGTGCACAAGTACATCTATGTACTTGTATCTCTTTATAGCCAGACTGGCAGGATGCATCCATGAACTAGCAGGAGGAGGACATGATGAAATTCCTTTAATTTCACATAGACAGATTTAACCATAGTTTCAGTTGGGAAAATGGGACCAAGCCAAGTCCAAAAACGCCAGGGAATTTCTACAAGCCTGGCACTCTGACAAATCAGCCATCAGTGGACACCTGGACATTAATAACGTCTATAGACTATACAAAAGAGACTATCACCCAGCCCAAAAAGGAACAAAAAGACCCAAGCATCTCTCCACCAGCTATCAGCAACCAGATTAGCGTAGAGCAGGGGTGTCAAACTGGATTTCTTCGAGGGCTGGATCAGCATTGTAGCTCTCTGCAGGCCGGTGGCGGGGATGCCTCCTGCAGCATCCTGACAGCCAAAACGGGGCATGGGGTTCCGTGTGTGCCCCCCGCCCATGCCTCATTTTAGCCCTCCATAGCCTCCTGCAGCACTGCTGGCTGAAAAAGGGCCATGTTGCCTGTTTTGGCTCCGTTTTTTGGCCTATTTTTCAGCCCATTTTCCGCCCCATTTTTGGCTTGTTTTCAGCTGGAGAGTGCTGCAGGATGCCCTGGAGAATGAAAACGAGGTGCGGGGGGGGGGGGGGGGGGGGGCACATGCAGCCTGGTTTCAGCTGGCAGAG